AGCGCTGGCATTTTGTGCTGGGGAAAATGTGATCCTTCCCCATGTATAATTTAAGAACTTTTTCATTATGACCAACTAAAACATCATTCAGCAATGCAAGCTTGCAAATTCCCCAGAATTCTTTGTCAGGCTGGATATTCATTACAAACCACTACCCAAAAAAGGGGATGGGAGGAAGAGAAAAGATGTTTCAAGGCATGGTAGAAAGGCCTCTATGATACCATGGAACAATTTTTCTCTCTCTCCCTGTCCCTCTTTTCTTGTTTTTCTACTGATCCAGTCTGATGAGGAATGATGAGGCACTTGAAAGCTTGCTATTGTTTGATATATATTTTGGTTGGTCCTAAAAAAATATATTAAATTTTAAAAAAGTTTTAAATCACAGTTTCTGGAATTTCTCCATGGACCAACAACTCTCATCTACAACCTTAACCCAGCCCACTTACAGCTGTGTGGAAGGCTGCACGGAAACTCTTTGTTCATAGGTTCTAAATCCACATTCCCAGTCCAGATCTCCAGCAGCCACCCTGCAAAGTCTCTGGAATCCTGTGGTCATCTCACCTGTCTTCTCGAGTTCTGCCTTGTCACGTATATAGTGCATTAATAGTAAGAACGAGCAGTTGATGTTGGCCAGGAATTGTTGGTTGTCTACAAGAGAAGGAACGGAGATGGCTGCTGGGGCCCCGCTTCCCACAGGCATTCCATCTGTGGCCAGAGGTGCCTTCCCAGGCAGCACCACACTCTGCAACATGCCCACAGTTGTGGCAGGTTCTGGGTTACTTACTACTGATGATGCAGGCATTGAGATTGTTTTATCCCAGGATAAAAATTCTATTCATTTCCAATGTGAAGTGTACAAAAACGTTGAAAGTATGTGTATGGCGGGGGTGACAATGATGAGGGAGGAAAGTGGGATGGAGAGGAATGGTGTTTCAGGAAGCAAATCCTGACGTGTAGCAGTTATACAGAGTCATTCAAACTGGCACAAGAGCACGGTATCTACACTAGTGATATCATCAGGGTTCTTTTTGTAGAAAAAGCCCAGCAGTAACTCATTAGCATAATAGGCCACACCCAACAGCAGTAACTCATTAGCATATTGGGCCTCACCCCTGACAGCACAGCTCATTAGCAGAGTAGGCCGCACCCCCATGTTACCAGAAGTGTGGTTATCCAGCCACACCCACCTTTTGCTTGTTATTCTGTTTACCTTGTTTGTTGTCAAAACCCAGGGCTTTTTTGTAGCAGGAACTCCTTTGCATGTTAGGCCACACACACCTAATGTAGCCAATCCTAATGCGTTTCTGCTGTTGGGTGTAGCCTATTATGCTAATGAGTTCCTGCTGGGCATGGCCAACTTGGGAGCCAGCCGGAACTCCGTTCCTGTGCGTTCCTGCCCAAAAATAGCCCTGAATATCATGACTAATGAACTTTAAAAAAATGAATCTAAAGTTCAATAAGCAGTTAAATTAATTAATTAAAAGGACTGTTGCAGGCTGTCCTGACAATTCCTTCTGTGCACCCACCAATTTAGGGAAGGACCAGCTGTGTTCTGCAAGGGAAGGGGGCAGTCCATCAGACTGAGGGTGCCCCATTTATGTCTGTCCAAATGGCTATCCCCAACAGCCTAGGGGCTGCTGAATGCCTTCCTCACTTACATTTCAACCAAGGACCTATGTCTATGTCAGGCTAGATGGCCATCTGACAGCCATGCTGATTCTGTGAACTTAGGCAGATCATGAGAAGGAGGGCAGGGAGGGTTGCCTCAGTGCTTAGTTATAGGGTGGCCAGGTCTGGGTTGGAAAATACCTGGAGACTTTGGGGGTGGAGCCGGGAGAGGGTGTGGTTTGGGGAGTGTAGGGGCCTCAGCAGGGGTACAACGCCATAGAGTCCACCCTTCAAAGCAGCCATTTTCTCCAGAGGAGCCGATTTTTGTCAGCTGGAGATCAGTTGTAAAAGTAGATCTCCAGGCCCCACCTGGAGGCTGGCAACCCTGCTTAGTTCTTGTGGCCCTTTCTTACATGCCCAGGGAAATGCTGATTGCCACTTTGGGGTCAGGAAGCAATTTTTCTACAGGTCAGTTTGGCCAGGGATCCTGGAAATTTTTGGTCATCTTCTGGGCATGGAACAGGGGTAACTGGGGGGTGGGTGGGTAGGTGGGAGGTATTTGTGAATTTCCTGTATTGTGCAGGGGTTGGACTAGATGACCCCGGAGATCCTTCCAGCACTATGATTCTATGGAGTCCTATGGCCGATTCTTGCCTTACCTCCATGTTTTATGGTAATAAACATGCCTTAGCTGCCTTTTGCACTGCTGGAGACCTCTCTTCATGTTGAGCAGCCCCAGGGCCACTGTGACATCTTGTAACCTCACAATGTGGAACTCTCTGCGAGGGCAACAATAGCACAATTTCTGCAGCTGTCCAGATCTGGCCACTGGAAGGAACAACAGTTAGACTTTGTTGGGAGGAGATGGTTAAGTCAGCCTCAGAGTCATGATTATCTTTACTTGGATGAAGTTTACATTATCCAAGTAAACATAAGAATGCTGAGAGTCCCAGCTTTATTAGGGCAAACCAAACCATGATTAGGACCTTGAAAGCACAGGGTTTGCACAGGAAGCAGAGCAGGAGGTTGAGGATAAAAGGTACTAGGCTAAGCTGTTGGCAAAGCCAGCTTGCAGTTTGTAAATATGCAGATGAAGATCTCCTGAGAGGCATTGCGGTCAAAGGACTAGGAGGGCCAGCAGACAAACGCAGAAAAGGAAAGGAGATAAGGGCATCAGGGTGGGAATGCCCAATAGGGTGAAAAATGTAGGGAAGGGGTGGTAGACAAGGGCAAGAAAATGTTCTAATTGAAAGTGTATTCAATGCATCATGGGGTTGGTAGTCTTGAAACTGCATAAACAACTGATTGTGCTAATATTTTATTCATAATATTAATACATTGCATTCTTATAAAATCCTTTTCATTTTTTGCTATCTAATTAGTCATTCACCTCAGTGGGTTGGTCCTCCAACGAAGACAGAAAGTGTTGGACAGGTTCATATGGGAGCCAGCAGTTCTATAGGTTGCTTGACATCACTCTGTACCAGGAAAGCCAAACCTCCTGATTCAAATTTTGAGATCATTAGGCACAGAGGAGAGCAGGGGCAATCGTCTGCGACTCTTAGTAGGCTGTACAAGAGCAGAAGACAACTGGAGAATAGACATGGGAATTGTAACCAGCTCTCTCCACCAGAAAAAATATTGCAGAACAAGATTATAGTGGTTAAATTAGCAGGGAAGGGTTAAAACATGAGAAGAATGTGAGTGTTGTGGAAAGACAGACTACTCCTTGTTGTGGTTGTGACCCCACTGAAATATGTCCAGGGCAGATGTATGGCACTTCGATAAAAGCAGCATGGATTTCAGCAAAACAAGCAATCAGTGCTGGAACAATACCCAGCACTGACATAACGATAAATGTTGAGCTGAGTCTCAGCAACAACCTGACAAAGCCAACTGAATGGAAGGTGGAGATGGATAGGGCAAAGTTGCCCCTAGCCAGGGACCCATGGGAGGGAAGGGGCTACAGCTAATGATCTTCCTAGCCCTACATGTACAACTCCAACCCCCCTCCCTTGCCAATAAACCCAGTTAGTTGCCACTCTATCATGCTTCAGCTACCCAAACTCCCCCTTTAAAGAAGATCTACCATCATAAGGTGCCAGCAGCCTTGACCCAGAATTCTGGCAGCAGGGCTACTATAGCAGTTTGCCGATATAGAAAACTACTAGCCTGATATCTGCAGCATTACTGTTGTTGATGGTTGGAGGATGCACTGTGGATTTCAGCCCAGCAGAATCAGAGTGGCCTGAAGAGCCAGTTGGGTCTCATCTGTCCTCATGGAATTGCTGACACTGGCCTGGCTAATAAGTCTCAGACTAGACAGCTTATTGTTCAGTTACAAGCTAAACTGCTTCCAGACCACCAGCTTCCCTCTAAGCTATCTCTCGTCCTGACTCCCATGTGTCATGCAGGGCTGGGAGGAAGATGCATGGCAGCGTATGACTGGAAAGCAGGACTTCCATCAGACTTTGAGGCCAAGCATGAAGGAAAGTCAAGCCCACAGAAGATGATCTTGAACCCTGTAAGGAAAGTATCTGTGGAGGAATTGCAGCTATGAGGAATGGAACATGTCATGTAGGCGGTGACGTGGAGTCTTTTCACCCTTCCCATGAGGAAAGCATTCCTGTTGAAACAGACATGCGGAAACTAAGAGTCTTTGTTCTGAAGCAATGCATTAACCATTGTAGTGAGATGATTATTCTCCCCTATAACCAATCTCTACAGGTGCCCTCTAACTAAAGAGAAATCAGGTTTGTTCCAGATATCAAGTGAAAACTTTGTATCCCAGCCAATGTTCCCTCCAAGTTGCAGAGTCTTGTGAGCAAAAATTCTACTTTGCGAGCTACTGGCAGTAAAGCTGTGGGCGAGTGCTTTTGCTGCTGCATTAATTAGTTTGCTCTGGAGCCCTCCTTCCTGAGCTAAGACAAAAAGTGTGAGCCGGCGGCTAAAAAACTGAGCTCACACTAACTCAGCTTAGAGGGAACACTGATTCCCAGCCCACTTACATGAAACTCACATGGCTCTGCCAAAATTAGGTACCCCTGAAAGCATGACAGAACACCTCTAAGCTTAGAATGAATGTCCCACAGAAATAACTGCAGCAAATGTGTGTTGTGTTTGTTCTTCATATTGTAAAACTTAGTTCTTCTGGGGATAAATGTATTCATTCATAGTTATGTATCCCAAGGATGTAACAGTGCACACATTGCTGTGAAACAAAGCAGACAGATGTTCTGCAGAAATCATCAGTCTTCTGTCCAGTCTTCTGTACCATTAGCAGACAGGGTAAGCGACAGCAGCAGTGTGAGGAAAGCGTGTCTGAGGAGAGCCATAACACAAGCTCTAGCCAGGAAACATCCCAGACTTGCAAGTGACTAGTCCTACAGGCTCTATTCAATGTCAGTCTTGGAGATGAGGTCCACAGAAACTCCAGGCACCTCCCCAGCCTTGCCCAGGATGTCACTGCCCAGAGGCAAATATCCCCCACCAGGGAGCAATTCTGTGACATGGCAGATGCTTTCACGGTAGCTTGGCTTGAAACTCTCCACGGCATCCTTGGGGACCCCGGCCCACTCCTAGGAAAATAAATGGCATGTTGAGAAGAACACACCTCTCCCTACCCCTGAGGTTTCCCCACCTGTCTCCCCTGGAAGTTTTCTGGTTCTGTATATTGGATGGTTTTTTTTCTACGTGCTAGAACTTCTTTTCTCTTTGCCTGCCTCCACCTGCTCAGAGGACATGTGACACAGAACCCTGAGGCCTACTCATGGAAACAGGGAGACCAAGGGCCTACCTAGAAGGGGATTCTGGGACGTCTGTGTCTGAAACTTCCCAAGCAGGGTTGCCAGCCTCCAGGTGGGGCTTGGAGCTGTCCTGGAGTTACAGCTGACCTCCAGACTACAGAGGTCAGGTCCTCTGGAGAAAATGGCAGCCTTGGAGGCTTGACATATCTCTACTGGGCTTCTACAACCCAAGCCCCACCTTTCTATCCTAAAACCTCCAGGAATTTCCCCAGAATTTGCAACCCTATCCTCTAGCATACTTTCTTTGTAAATAGCAGTTGCTCGGGGCCATGACTCGGTTCAGGACCATGGCACAGAAGGAGGGTTAATACGCACACACACAGCTGCCTTGACACCCATGGTCAGTCACAGCCTCACATCAGAGACTGCAAAATCAACTGAATTCTCTTTGAAGCTTGTTCTGCATCCTTCTTAAGCAAGGCATGCCCTGATCAGGATGGCGGAGGTTTAGGGATGCCAGCCTCCAGGTGGGACTTGGGGATCCCCCAGAACTACAGCTCATTTCCAGACTACAAAGATCAGTTCCCCAGGAGAAGATGGATGTTTTGGGGGTGGACTCTATGGCATTGTAGCCAACCGAAATCCCTCTCCTCCCCAGGCTCCATCCCCAAATCTCCAGGAGTTTCCCAAACTGGTTCTGGCAACCCTACGTTCCCCCCATCTCCCGCCTGTGGCTGCGGGGAGCTGGCAATCCTACCTAGGTTGGCCTGATCTCATCAGATCTTGGAAGCTAAGTAGGTTTGGCCCTGGGTAGTACTTGAATGGGAGACCACCGAGGACGTCCAGGCAGGGTCTCTGTGCTGAGGCAGGCAATGGCAAAGTCGGCTGTGACTTGACAGCACTTTCCACCCCCACCTAAGCAGGGCACAGACCATTGCTTTGGGGGCCCCATAACAGCAGGAAAGGGCCCCAAAGGTTCTTACTGAGAAGTTGCCTTGGTAGGCTGTGAAGAGCTCTTCAAATTTGTTGCTAGGGTTGGGAATTTTGGGCATCAGGACCAGCCATACCCTGGAAAAAGAGAGAGAGGGTTAGATGTGGCACAGCTGCAGGGTTTTCACAGTATAGCTTGCAAGTCCCTCTCGGCCTTTCTTTGCAAAGGCCTCAGCCTCCATACAGAGGCTAATGGAAGGATTATCCCCTGGAGATCTAAAGGGGTGGCTATTCATCAGGAAAGCATACATCTAGAGCAATAGCTTGTTAGAGCTCATTCACAAAAACCAATTCCACCCTTTCAGCAAAGCAGCAATTTGCATTTTTGGCACAGGGTCAAGATAGGGATGCCAGCCTCCAGGTGGGAGTTGAGGATCCCCCCAAATTACAGCTCATCTCCAGACTACGGCAAGCAGTTCCCCTGGAGAAAATGGATGCTTTGGAGGGTGGACTCTGTGGCACTGTACCCCACTGAGGTCCCTGTCCTCCCCAGGCCCCATCCCCAAATCTCCAGGAGTTTCCCAACCTGGATCTGGCAACTCTACCGCCCTATCCCCTACTGATGGCCATGGGGGACCTGGCAAACCCTAAGGTCAAATTAGTTTCCAGCCCATGATGGGGAAAAAGCTACCTCTTCACTTATGAAAAAACATTTTGGCTGAGAGGCAGAGCAAATGTAGACCCCATGTGCTAGGGTCCCAGTGGCTTCACTGGCCCGTAGGGTCCTGGGTTTTGGTCTTGTAGCCAACCTTTGATCTGCCCCAGACAACCAAATCTCCCTCCCACCTGCAATTGTGCATCCTCTTTAATACGTTATTGTTTATTCATTTATTTATTTTATTGCATTTATACCCTGCCCTCCCCGCGAATGGGCTCAGGGCGGCTCACGTAGGGCACTAAGTGCGTACAGTATACAAAATTACAAAATACAAAATTCAAAATATGGATTTTTAAAAATACTTTTGGAATTGTTCTTGTGAATGAAAATGTAAACGGAGCGTCTCCCATTTGTACTAGCTCTATACTCATGTTACTTGGCTGTCGCTTCCTAGAGGTAATGCTGGTGAAATTCTAGGCAATTTTCGTTTGTGCTGTTCATTGTATATAGATTATAGTGTTTTTTATTGCATCGTTCCCTAATCTTGTGATCCTGCTTTATTGTATGTGCTGCTTTTAGTACACTGCCATCTAGGTGTATAATCCAGTGTTACTGTGTTGTTTTCTTTTATGTGGCATTCTGTATTCTATGTAATCCACTTTGAATCTCAGCAAGAAAGGTGGACCATAAATGAATAAATAAATATAGAAGAAGAGTCCTTCACTACCCAAAGGAGTCTCAGAGCAGCTTGCAATCACCTTCCCTTCCTCTCCACACAACAGACACCCTGTGAGGTAGGTGGGGCTGAGAGAGCTGTGACTCACCCAAGGTCACCCAGCTGGCTTCATGTGGAGCAGTGGGGAATCAAACCCGGTTCTCCAGATTAGAGTCCGCTGCTCTGAACCATTATATCATGCTGGCCCATCCTGGGCATTTTGAAACCTTACTTGTCAGTCTAGGCCAGGTGTCTCCAGCCTTTCTGAGCCTGCAGGAATTCTGAGACAGTGTGGTGGGTACAACCACAAACTGACTGCCACAAAAATGGCTACTGCAGGAGGTGGAGCCAGCCACAAAAAGTTACCTTCAGTTACACAGTGAAGATCCTTATGCTGTGGGGATCGCTGCTGCCAATGCAACATTTAAAAAAAACAATCTGCACAATCAATCAAATCTTCAGCGGCCAATAAGAAGCCTCGCTGGTCAAGAGCATCACTTGGCCCCACCCACTTCCTAGAAGCACTTGATTTGCATATGGAAAGGTGTTGGCAGGCTCCAGGGCATTCACTGCCACCACAATGGGGACCCCCGGGGTCTAGGCTGAGCAGCGAGTGGAGTCCATATCTATGCCTTGATAAGTGCAACATACTGACCCCCCCCTATTGCCAACCCTCTCCCATACATCCCTTGAGCCCTGCCAAATAGCAGAGAAAGAAAGATGTAGAAGGATGGGAAGAGTAGCTGGCCTTGCTGCTGAGCTGACTTGAAGACTGGGGGAGGGGCTTGGCTCCCCTCCCCCACTGCCTCGTAGCACCATCCTGGAACATCGTCAGCCCCTGGGCTGGGCGGCTTGCTCAGCTCACCTCTCCACGCGCATCAGGGTTAAGAAGAGCAGGATCAGGAGCAAAAAGGAGCCAATCGGGAACACGACATTTTGGATCCAGAACCACACGGCAGTGTTCTTATCTTCAGAGCCTGCAAAGTAGAATAGTCCAGGGCAATAGTCCTCTAAGCTGTGGAGTCCTGAGAGCAAAAATTCTACTTTCTGAGCTACCAGCATTAAAGTTGTGAGCAGGTGATCTGGCTACTGCATAAATTAGTTTGCTCTGGAGCCATCCTTCCTGAGCTAAAACAAAAATGTGTGAGCTGGAGGTTAAAAAACTATGAGCTAGCTCGTACTAAGTCAGCTTAGAGGGAACACTGGTCCAGAGATGGGTCTCCGAGAGGAACAGGGCTAGCCTCACATGGGGATTTCTGCCTCCTGCAATCTCTGAAAGAGTG